AAAAATAAATTATGCTGTAATCTTTTTTTTCCTCCTATTTGAAAAGATGTTAGAAATTTCTTGGCATTATAACAATAATATATTCTCTAGTTAGTTTTCATATGCAGCAAAAGAATTTGGGGTGAGTAAACATTTTTATTTGAGGAGAGGAGGCAAGCCCTCAGGGACACACCTTATGATGTCCACGATTATGTTGACATTGAGTTGGAGCCAGTGGTTTAGCTTCTCCCTTTTCTTTACAGGCTGTCCTTGTACACAGGATGTGTGTTGGGGGTTTGATTGGAAAAGCCCTTATTGGGCTATAACCTCTGATAGAGCACAGGCTTTATTCAGAGGCATATGAGTAAATCTCCACTTTGGGTCATTTTTTTGGATGTGAACCCCATGAATTATCAGTGATCAACTTGAATAATTTGACCTTGTTTGCATGGATGGGAATGGAGTGGGATGGGTTGCAGACAGCACTGAGTTGGCAAGGGTTTACATGAGGAATAGAGTTTATGAGTGTGTAGTTTAGTATTTATTTGTGACCCCTTTCTAAAACCAAATACAGATGAACTTCAGTTTCTTTAGTTTTCACTTGGGCCTCATATCATCTGAAGGAAAAATTAAAAGTTGATTGTATTGGACTTTTTTAAAGCTCATAATCTCCTTTAGGACAGCCTTTTGCTTTGAAATCTTTGTTTTTCTTCGTCTCCCAGCTCAGTGCATTAATTTCAAAACTGATTAACCAACATGGTGTATTGTTTTGACCCAGGACAGCACAGAAAGGATAGAAGGAAGGGTAGAAATTTTATAAAGCCTGACCTTTGGGCATGTATGTACACTTCTCAAACAAAACTATGATTGGCTTGAATTGATTATAAACCACATCTACAGATAAAGCTGACTGCCTCTCTTTAGTGAAGGACATTGCTAGGAGGGAAATTTTCATTCCAATCTCCTGTAGTTTAATTTAGCCATAGAAATGCTAAGTAAAAATAGCTTAAAGAACCTAAATAAGTAAAGCAATTAATTGCAATTTTAGGTAGTGAATACCTAAAAATGATTTTAAAGCTGTAGAGCCATGATGTCATAACTTTAGATGAATGTTTGCAGGAATAAAGTAATTGGAACCATTAAAGATTTAAATGAAAGCAGTTATTTTAGTAAATGGGTTGTTCAATTCTTATTCATCATTTGTTGTGTTTTTTCTCAACCTTATATCCAAAGCGGCTGCATTTCAACAAGGAAAGATACCTCCTACTCCGTTCTCTGCCCCTCCTCCTGCAGGGGCGATGATTCCACCTCCCCCCAGTCTTCGTAAGTTTAAAGTTTTTACCTTAAGGGCTGTAACTGGGCAGATTATTCTTTGATTATGTTAGATTATCTCACAGTTAGCTTTTGAATGCTTGTTGAATGAATACATAGATAGTTATAGAAAACAACTTTGGTGGTATAATTTCTAAAATAACCTTAGAGTTAAGTTTCAATTGCATTGTTACCAGGATATTGTATTTGTGGCATCCCAAGTGTTGGTGCAAGACAAATTCAAATGGAAAGCTCAGAATGAACTTGCGATAAGATGAGCTGATATATGAATAGGAGTTGCTGAGTACCTTGAAGTATTTACTGCTATGAACACAGCACTGGAGGACTGAAATAGCTGATAAGCTCCTCAGTCTCTCCCCTTATTTTCTAAACCACCTAACGCTGTAATACATACTTTGTGGAAGATAAGAATTGGATAGTTGAAAGTGGAGTGGATCATAGGCCTCTCCTCTCTTGGAAAATTTGTTGTTTCTGCATGGCAGACAGGAAGAGATTGAGTACTGTACTTGGTTGTAAGTTCTTTGGCTCTCCTAGAAGGGTCTAGATTTGAAACTGAATTCAGAGACCTCAACTCAGTCTTATAAGTAATTATGGATGTAAACACAGAGAAGTAAGCCGTTTGTAGTAGTTACATACTAATGTAGGTCGACCACCAATGGCCTGCTAAATCTTTTCTGGGCTTTTCCCATCCTGGGACCTGGTCAGGCCTCTTCCCACAGCAACTCCGAGGTCACTTCTCTCTCCTGTTCCACCTTGACTGGCTGGCACTAAACTCCATTATTTTTAAAAGCAGAATAGTCTGTGGTGTGAATGTACTGTAGTTTACCTCACCATTTTCTCGTTGTTGGATATTGAACTTGTTCTAAATTTTTGCTATTGTAAATGATACAGTCAGCCATATCTCTGCATGTAAGTCTTTGTATTTCCAAAGAATCCTTTAAACCCAGGTTTTGATTTTTTAATAAAGGATCTAAAAAGGGACCGCTTATACACTGTTGGTGGGAATGTAAATTAGTATAACCTTTATGGAAAACAGTATGGAGATTTCTCAAAGAACTAAAAATAGAACTACCATTTGAGGGGCTGGAGGAGAAAAAAAAAAACACTACCGTTTGATCCAGCAGTCCCACTAATGGGTGTATACCCAGAGGAAAAGAAATCATTATATCAAAAAGATACCTGCGCTTGTATGTTTATTGCAGCACTGTTCACAATAGGAAAGATATGAAATCAACCTAAGTGTCCATCAATAGATGATTGGATAAAGAAAAAAAATATGTGAGATATATCTATATACATATAGGTATATATATATATCATGGAATACTACTCAGCTGTAAAAAAGAATGAAATCTTGTCTTCTGCAGCAACATGGATGGAACTAGAGGCTGTTTTTTTAAGTGAAATAACTCAGAAACAAAGTCAAATACTGCATGTTCTCACTTATAAGTGGAAGCTAAATAATGTGTATACATGGACAGAGAGTGTGGAATAATAAACATTGGAGACTCAGAAGGGCGGAAGAATGGGAGGGGGTGAGGAATGAGACGTTACTTAACGGGTACAATGTACACTATTCTGGTGATGTTTATACTATTAATAAAATCTCAGACTTCACTACATAATATAGCCATGCATCAAAACTGTACTTTTACCTCATAAATGTATCCAAATTTAAGAAAGGGGATCTGAAATTCCATATTTGTGGCTTAAGTTCATCAGGAGCTCTACAGAAGGTACAACCTCCTCCCCCTTTTAAAATTAAAATCTCAGAATTTTTTTTAATCTGGGGAACCTGAGTTCATTTTCTAAAGTTTTATGGCATGTGATTTTTTTTGGATCCACTGTTATAAAAAGAAACAATAAGAGGTCTGTTGTTTCTGAATTTGAACCAGTTCATGAGACCCTATTACTTTTACTAAGAAGAGAGAATGTCAACATATAAGCATACCTTAACCACTGGCTGTTTTCTTTATTTCAGCGGGTCCTCCTCGCCCTGGTATGATGCCAGCACCCCATATGGGGGGCCCTCCCATGATGCCTATGATGGGCCCTCCTCCTCCAGGGATGATGCCAGTGGGACCTGGTAAGTTTGAATATCTTTCCTTCTAGTATGCTCCATTGTGTTTTAGTTCTCCAGTTAAATGGAATTCCTAATAGCTGTCTAAATGTGTTTTTGCAACAGATTAAATTTGGTCAATCATATAGGATAAAAAGATTCTTGAAAAATTTGGGAGAGGGGCCTAAAAAAGAAAAAGAAATACTTATTTATCAGTATAATTGGGCGATATCCAAGGACCTTGTCCTACTAAAAGCAAGATAGGGCTGCTTCTGTTTTTCTTCTTCTCCCTCCCTCCTGTCGTCTTGCCTTATCCTGACTTTTGGCCATGTATGATGAATAGAAAGATAGATGAACTTGTTCCATTTGAGGGGTGGGAGAAAAGTAGATATATTTTCTCAGTTTTGATTTGGAGCAGAGCTACCTTCTGTTGCTGGTTTAATCTTACAGGTTAACTAGGCCAAATCAGTATTTGAAAAAGACTTTAGGCCTGGTAGTTGATTTTTTTATTCAGGAAGTGGAGGGGAAACCTTATACATGAAACGTTTTATTTTAATGTAAACATAAATGTTCAGTAATTTGTAAATCTTCCTGATACAGGGACAGGACCTTTGCTTTGAGAGTGAGTCCACTGATTTCTAACACCATATATTTCTTGCATAAACCAATAAATCATAACCATTATGCATCTTCTACCAACTTTAGTTTCATTTTTTTTGAGGTGGTTAGAGACCTTGCGATACAATCTATTAATAGTTCCCATCCTTTATGATTATTTCTGCCTTCCAAATTTGTGAACATTTTTGGGGGATGATTTGCCTCAGTTTTCTAAGTATCAAGTTAGCTTTCCAAGAAACAATTTTCATTTCACACTCATATTTTATTGGTTTGCAGAATAGATTATGTAATTAGAGTAATAACTACAACTGACATACCCAGGTTTGGGAACAGATAGGACTAATGCCTGTAACTTATCTGGAAAGACAAGGTGCAAAGTTATTAAGTAGCTTCCTAGCCGGAAGTATTCAGTACACCTGCTGTCGATATCATTTAAAGGGGTAGATAAAGAGAGTTCCTGCCTTACTGACTTGAACCCAGAACATAATCAAAATTATTTAGATGGCTTTAGTATCCTAAATCAGGGTCACAAATTCAGATTCCTAGAGAGGTTAGGGATGTGGTGAACTAGGGAATGCACAACCCATCTAAAGAAGACTTCCAGAACTCAGCTTCAGCCTGTAATTGACATTTGAGAATACAGGCTTGGTGTTGTCAGTTCTCCTGAGGTTGTTTTTTTTGTTTTTTTTTTTAACCAGGATAAATAAGATTGTGGGATTTGTGTGAAAATAATTGAATAGGTGGTGGTGGGTGGGCAGGGATAGGAATGGGTGGGGAGTGTAGATAAACAAAGTTGGCCATGGGTGGGTAATTGTGGAAGCTGGATGATGGATACATGGATGTTCATTATACTCTTTTTTACTATTCCTGTGTATGTTTGTATATTTCCATAATAAAAAGTTTACAAGAAATAGGGAATCTAGACTTCTAATGAAATCTCAATGTTGGCAACTATTTCAAATTAAATCCGCTATGGAGACCAAAGAAAACAAGTTTTCAGGTGCCCAGTTTTTAATGTTTGGTCTATATGTTTCCTTGAAGAAATGCTTGAATATAGGTTATGTTAAGCATAGGCCTTTATGTGATATTTAGAAGTTTAGTATTATTCTCTGTTCCTGTTGAAATTGGTCTTAAAAAAAATTCTGTACCTGTTGGATTTTGTGTCTTTGCATATACTCGTGTTTCACTTTTTGTTATAAGGCTATATTCAGCTTTGAATATAGTTTTCTCTTGAGCCGTTTACTGCAAACCTAATCAAAATTATTTAGTTAAAGATAAATAGGTAAAATTTGATATTCATAAAGAATATATGTAACATGAAAATTATGAGGCATAATAATAAAATGAATATCCGTGAACCTATCACCCAGCTGAGGAAGTAGAACATTATCAATTCCCTTGAAGCTACCTGTGTTCCTTCCCTACCCCTCTGCTTGCCTTCCCCTCCCTGGCTCATTTATTTGGCTGGTTTATTGATGGGACACGTAAAAAAATTAGTAGTTTCTAATATGCATTAGAAAAATCAGTTTTTTTTGTGTGCTAATTGTTATAAATCACATTATTGCCTATTATTTTTCTTGACTTGAGCTAAGTATGGTTACTAACAGGTTCTCAGCATGGGCCTCCTGCTCACCTTTCCTACAACTCCGAACAAACGCTTAGTGGTAAGATTGTCCTCTGTGCCTGTGTACATTCATGAAATAGCTCCTGGTTACATGGTGGATATAACTGATTAAAAGAGCTGACTGAATAACATGTGACTTAGTTGTGAATTTCCCTGAGTGAGAAAAAAGGTCAGTTTAGGGAACTAGTGTCCCTGGTGATTTCTGGAAAGCAGTCTATTAATAGTTTCCCCCTTACTATCATTAGATCATGATTTCCACATGGTTCTTGTGTTGACCTTTTTGTTTTTTGTTTGAGAATGTCTAAGTAATTTACAGATGTGATGAATTTGTTGCATTTCTTCTGTCAAGTATGTCTTTTTTCCAGCATTTTGCAGGGGGGTGGCTACTTTTTTTTTGTTTTTAATTGAAGTCCCATCAGATTCTCTCATAAATGGTATTTTCTGACTCCCTTCTTTTCCTTTTCTTTTTTTTGTCCTACAGCTCCTGGAATGAGGCCACCCATGGGAGGCCACATGCCAATGATGCCTGGGCCCCCAATGATGAGACCTCCCGCCCGTCCCATGATGGTGCCCACTCGGCCTGGAATGACTCGACCAGACAGATAAGGATAGAGGGGAGGTCTCTTTATGTCAGTTTTATATTACCTGTTCTGCTTCACCGGGAGATCATGGTGCTGTGACTCTGGGTGTTTTCTTAACAGCATGATAAGGAAGACTTGCTCCCCCTTCCTATCAAAGAGAGAATAGTTTTGAGAGGAAGAAGTGGAACCCAAAAAAAGGGCAGTTTGCATTTGTATTGCGAAGTGTGAAAATAAAATTGTCAACTCTTTTAGTTAAAAGTGTGTTCCCTTTTTCCTCCCCTCTGTATTCTTTGTGTATTATAAAGGAGATGAAACATTTCAATTGTGTTTTTCTAGCTCATTCTCTCTTCAGCATGTCCTCTGTGTGAGATTATTTTTCCTTAGCTATATTGTGAATCTCTTTGAGTACCCTCCTTTATTTAGTAAAGTTGTCTTGTGCAGGACTTTGGTAAATCTAACACTTGTAGAGCTTTTGTTGGTTAAAATAATAAACAGCACAATTGGTTAAATTTTCACATGACTAACACTTTGTGTAGTAAGTAGAAAGTTTTAAGTCTTTTATGCTGAAGTAGAGGAAAATACTTCCTGTTGCGTGCATGTCAGCTAAGAATGGGGAATCTCAGCTTCTCCTTTATCTTAGCTCCCTTCTTTCTTGGCCTCAGTCGGAAAACTTTGTATGGCAATGATAAAATAATGCAGATTTCTGTGTTACAGAATGTGTTTTTAGAATCCTATTTGTTACATAACCAGGCAGGGAAGCATCTAGAAAGTAAGCCACTGGCACTGTTCATATCCAGTGCAGTGTAAAATTTAAACTCTTTCATGTCACAGGTGGGAGTGAAAATTGTTATAACTGCCGTGGTGGGCAATTTGGCTACATTTATCAGAATTACAACACCTATATCCCTTGACATTGAGTTTCCATGTCTAGCAATTTATCCTGCGGTTAGACTTGCACATGTATGAAATGGTATGTGTATAAGATGAAGCATTGCAGCAAAGGTTGTGAATAACATACATGTCCAATGATAGTGGACTGATTTATCAGAAAGTTTCATATACCGTGCATGTTAAAGCAGAATAAGGAAGCTCTATATACTGATAGGAATTGATCTCCCAGATACATGTTGTTCTGTATGTTGGTTTTTTCACATAACAATGTATTGTTTGCTATCCTTTATTTTTCTTTTTTTATTTTTTATGTTTAAAAAACAATTTTTTTTTTTTAGAGACAGAGTTGCTGTATTGCTCAGGCTGGCCTCAAAACTCCTAGGCTCAAGTGACCCTCCCAACTCAGCCTCCCAAGTAGCTGGGACTACAGGCATGCACCACCATGCCTGGCCTGCTATCCTTTTTTAAAGGAACTATCTGTATTTGCCTGTGTATGCACAAAGGTTTTTGCAAGGACAGATAAGCAACTTGTAAAACTGGTTGCTTATGAAGGGTGAAGTGGGTAGCTGGGAGACAGAAATGAGGGGAAAAAGGCTTATAATCTTTTTGTATCTTTCGAATTTTTGAATTATTTAAAAAAAAAAACAACAGAAACCAAACACCCTTGCCAACTAAGATTAGGGGACCCTTTTCAAAATAAAGATTCCAGATTTTGATTCGCTAGATCTGGGATGGGGCTTAGGAAATTTGCTTTTTGGAAAATCTGGAAGATTTTGATTATTAGCATGTTTAGAAAACTCTTAGGATATGTTTAAGGACATAACTTTATGTGTGTCTTTGTCTGTACTTTTTAAAAGATTTATAGCTAGAAACTGAAATGGTTGTAAGTGGATTGCTTCTTTTCCTAGAAACGTGAATATTTTGAAGAGGAGCTAATTTAGGCAAATAAACCGCCTTATGTACGTAAACAAGGGGTTAAAAATAGAGATCCTGACATTTAAATGATTTTTTTATGAGACAAGGTTGTGCTCTGTTGCCCAGGCTGGAGTGCAGTGGCACATTCATAGCTCACTGCAGCCTTGAACTCCTGGGCTCAAGTGATCCTCCTGCCTCAGCCTCCAGAGTAGCTAGGACTACAGGTGGGCGCCACCATGCTTGGCTAATTAAAAAACTTTTTTTTTTGTAGAGATAGAGTTTCACTATGTTGCCCAGGCTGAAGTCTCAAACTTCTCCTGTGCTCAAGCAATTCTCTCGCCTCAGCCTCCCAGAGTGCTGGGATTATAGGCATAAGCCACTGGCACCCAGCCTTAAATGTTCTTTGTGCTCATCCTCTATAGAAGTTGAATCAGCTTCCTAGTCTGAACCTTTGGCAGGACTATTTATTGCTTTTTGGTTTCTCATTCAGTCCCATCTTTTTAAGAAGGACTTAAATCTGAAATTGATAGTTTGTATGTCTGACTTTTATAGCTCAGATTTGTTATGAAAAATCTTCTGCAGACTTAAGAGTTTGTTAGGGGAATCCTTGCCAACTGAACTTTCCATGTGACTCAGGAAGTTTCTGATTTGGATGGCTCTTTCAGGCTCAGGGTGAAGAGTGTATCTTTTGTGTATGCACAGAAAGCCCACAGATAGATACCTATTTAGGTTTTGTAAATAGCCTCAGGAATTTAGGAACAATCAAGGTCTTCCAAAAGGAGGCTTTTTCCGGAGTGTATTCTTAAGGTTGAATCTCCCTTCCAGAAATATTTCTAGTCTTTGAAGAAAGTGTTTTACATGGTTTTAGAAAAACTGTAAGATGACTTGAAAGTTTAACAAGCTTTAACTGTAGTGAACAAAAGTAGGAACAAATAGTTCTAAGAAGATTCTTTTTGTGTTTTTATCAACTCCTATGGCAAACTATAATTCATCTAGTAATGAATGATTATAAGACATTTCCTTTTTGGGAGGCTATGAAGAAGACAGTAGAATTTATTTACTGTTATAGATTTATGCCTTTAGACATCTGATTTAATTTTAAAACATGAATGAACTGTAATGTGAGAATTTGTATATGTACACATACACACAAGAATACTACTAAATATCAAGAATTGTAGGCCGGGCGTGGTGGCTCACGCCTGTAATCCTAGCACTCTGGGAGGCCAAGGCGGGCGGATTGTTTGAGCTCAGGAGTTTGAAACCAGCCTGAGCAAGAGCAAGACCCCATCTCTACTAAAAATGGAAAGAAATTAATTGGACAACTAAAAATATATAGAAAAAATTAGCCGGGCATGGTGGCGCATGCCTGTAGTCCCAGCTACCCGGGAGGCTGAGACAGAAGGATCGCTTGAGCCCAGGAGTTTGAGGTTGCTGTGAGCTAGGCTGATGCCACGGCACTCTACCCCAGGCAACACAGTGAGACTCTGTCTCAAAAAAAAAAAAAAAAAAAAAGTAAGTTAGTGTCAATGGGGGATAACATTAATACTTACTTCCTTTTTTTTTTTTCATGCTATGACGTCCATTTCCACCACAGTGTAATGGCAAAAGAGCCCCCAACTGATAAAAGTCACTGCAGCATGTGACCTTACTTCCTTTTCTGTGAGCAGATTTGATGCCATTGTGTGTGCACTTAAGGTCCAAGCTCTCATCATTTCCACTGCTAGGGCTTTTAATCATTTGTCAAAATGCTAGTCCCTTGATTCAAAGCTGCATGAGAAATAGGATCCGTGTACAGAAGCACAGGCTAATTTGGTCATCCTGTATGGGAAAAGTCCACTGATGATTGTTTGTCCCAATTACATAGAATAAATATTAATTAATTGGAGACATTTCTTTCCGTCCCAATGAAAGCATAGGGTTAGACCTTCTGGACAGAATCAAATACAGTATCTAGAATAGTTCATCAGACAAGGGCAGGACTAAAATAATCAGAAATGTTGCTTATTGTCCTTGCTATTTGGGGTTTGAGGGGATTTCAAACTTACAGAAAAGTTGTAAGAACTGCACAGAGAACACTTATATACTGTTTACTCAAATTAGCCTGTTGTTGGGTGTTAGCATTTCACCCCATTTGTTTTATTTGTCTCTTCCCTCTATATAGGTAGATTTTTTTGTTCCCTCAACCATTTGAGAGTAAGTTGCTTATATGATTAATGTCATGCCCTTTCCCATAAATACTTCAGTGTGTATTTCCCAAGACTAAGTATATCCTCTTACACAACCATGGTTCAGTATCAAACTTAGGAAATATAACCTTGATTGAATGATCTGCCAACCATATTTCATTTTTGTCTGTTGACCCAACAATGTCTTTGTAGTTTTTCTCCTTCTCTTGTATACGATCCTTTCTAGAATAATTTACTGTATTTTTTGTAATATTTCTTTAGTTTCCTTTAGTGTAGAACCGTTCCTCAGCCTTTCTTTGTCTTTATGACATCAGTAGTCCCTCCCCCTTTTCGTGATGCTTTTTTTTTGAGACAGAGTCTCACTCTGTTGCCTAGGCTAGAGTGCTGTGGCGTCAGCCTAGCTCACAGCAACCTCAAACTCCTAGGCTCAAGCAATCCTACTGTCTCAGCCTCCTGAGTGGCTGGGACCACAGGCACGTGCCATCATGCTCGGCTTATTTTTTCTAGTTTTAGTAGAGATGGGGTCTCACTCTTGCTTAGGCTCGTCTCGAACTCCTGAGCTCAAGTGATCCTCCTGCCTCAGCTTCCCAGAGTGCTAGGATTACAGGCGTGAGCCACTGCACCCGACCTCCACCTCCTTTTATTTAATAGAATATTCCTCATTCTGGGTTTGCCTGTTGTTTCCTGATGATTACATCTGGACCGTGGGTCTTCAGTTATGTCCCCAAGATATTCCTTCTGTAGGCAGCACACAGGTGATTGTCCAGTTGCTCCATACTTGTTCCTTTTGAATAAGTATCTTTCCCCTGGCTGCCAATTAAGTAAGCCCATTGACTTATGTCCTCATCTAATGATAACACTTGTTTTTTATCTGACAAAAATGCCATTCGGAATAATAACACCTCGAGCATAGTATATGAAGCCAAGATCTCAAAGCATTTTTTTGCGTTTATAGCTTTCACAGTGACCCTGAAAAATGGATCTCCTAATCCTTTCCTCCTTTCCTTGTGCATCATGTCCTAGTACTTTTTGGGGTTGGTTGTTGAAAGGATAAAGAAGTGAAAGGTAGAAGTGAAGCACATGAAGAGGGACAAGGAGGAGAGCAACCCCGAGCCTAGAGTGGCAGACAGAAAGACATTACTAGTTGTTTACCTTGGTATTGATAACTCTCTGTAAAGTAATAGCACATGTTATTTTAAACTGGATCGATGGCCATGTGAAATGAAGAACACATTTCTCATAGCTTGGAGTTGGGTGAGGCCA